TCCGCCGCTTACTCATGCAGCCCAATGGGCGGCTACCAACTGAGGACACGTCAGGAATTGTTTGTCGCGTCAACTGTCTAGACTGTCCAGCCAATTATTGTGGCATGACAGACAAACGATTAAGGTCGCGCATGCATGAGCATTCTCTAGCTGTAAAGCGAAAAGATGTACGATCACATGTTGCCATGCATAGCCTCGAAAATGACCATCAATTCGGCTTCGACAAGGCAGAAGTAATCGGTCGAGCTGAAAGCAAAATGGCGAGAGAGCTAATCGAGGCCTGGCAATCCAACGCCAACTCGATCAACCGTAGGATCGACCTACCGGCGCCATATGAGGCCGTCAGACACCACTTGAGCAGGAAGGGAGGACCAATGGGAAGAGAGAACAATGGACCTATCAGTACTGAGTAAGAAAGACCTATTTAAACCTTGTATTCCCACTTTTAATCTATGTCCGATGATGCTCTCAAGTATGAGTGTGAAACGTCAGATGAATAAATCATCCTCCCCAGAGATCTCTTTACCTTCTTCCATCTCAACACCTGGGGTCGGCATTTTCGCCTATATCCATAAATATATATACATATATAAATGTTAGTGGGCGTTCACCGATCGTTCATACGGAACTCACTCGTTCCGTTGTGCCTTATGGACTCTCTCGAGCCCAACCAGCAGCAGCATTGCGGCGCATGATATATAGGCAGAATGGTATTGTCGACATAGACAAGAGAGACTGGAATGGCCATTTCTGGCTTATTAGCCGTCGTCAGCCAGCCATACCCAAGCCCGAAGTATGGAACACCCGAGCCTCGAACTCGCGACCTGTTGGTTTAGAAGTCAACGCCTCTACTCACCGGGCCACGAGTCTGTTGCCTTGTCGGTTTTCGATCGGGAATATACAATGTTAGTGGGCGTTCACCGATCGTTCATACGGAACTCACTCGTTCCGTTGTGCCTTAAGGGCTCTCTCTCGAGCCCAACCAGCAGCCGCACAGCGGCGCATGATATATAGTCAGAATAGCATTACCGACAAAGACGAAGTGTATGACTGGCTGACGACGGCTAATAAGCCATAAATGGCCATTCCAGTCTCCCTTGTCTTTGTCTGACCCCCAACGACACCCTTATCGAACATGCTTATGGCCTCCCAAAGGTACACAAAGCAGGTGCTCCGTTGAGGATCATAGTATTGCACATTGGATCGCCAACACTTAACCTTGCCAAATGGCTGTACAAGCACCGAATACACCTTACGAATGGATGGCAGTATAGCATCAACAACTCTGATGATTTCCTTCAGAGAATCCAAGGCCTTAATGTAAGCCCTGATGAATGCATTTTATCGTTTGATGTAGTTGCTCTTTTTTCCTCAATGCCGCTTAACTTGGCCATTGAGAGCGTTGTTGGACGCCTACAGGAAAATCCAGTTGGCATTCCAACAGAGCATGTTTCAGAAATGCTTGGGCTCTGCCTTAAGAACAATTGTCAATTCGATGGCAAGTATTACCAGCAGGTCAAGGGCACTTCCATAGGTTCACCGATATCGGGCCTAGCCGCCGAACTAGTCTTACAAAGACTAGAAGAAGTTGTCATTCACCGAAGATGTGACTCCGCTACGTAGATGATACTTTCGTAGTCATAAAAAACTGTGAAGTTGAACGACTGCACCAGAGTCTTAACGTTGTCTTCCCGGCCATACAATTCACATGCGAAGAAGCAACAGGGGACATCCTCCCCTTTTTTGACGTCAGTGTACAAAGACTGAGTGATAGCAATCTCACAACCAGCGTCCACAGAAAAGACTCCAGTGCCGAAATCATTCTCAACTGCGGGAGCAATCATCCTGCGGCCCACAAGAAAAGCTGTGTTCGAACTCTTTTTCACCGCGCCTTTCGGTACTGTAGCAGCCAGTATCTACTCAAGAGAGAACTAGCCTACTTATACCAATTATTCCGATCTAACGGATATCCGATTAGCTTCGTGAAAAACTGTCTCAGACGTCAGAGGCAACCACAAGATCAGAGTTCGCGTGGAGAGGTGGCACAGAGGAAATATTATTCCCTGCCCTGCATGCAAGGAATTTCCGAAGCAATGGCCCGACAACTAAACAGGTTTGGCATCTGCATTTCCCCACAAGCCGGCGTCCTCCTTACGCGCAGCACTATCACGGGCAAAGGATCCCATACCCAAAGAACAAAAAGTAACGTCATCTACCGTATCCCGTGTGCTAACTGCCGTTGCGTTTATATTGGTCACACGGGTCGACATCTTAGGACTCGCATTAATGAACGCAAGTTAGCTATCCGCCGACGCGACCCCTTATCTCTCGTGCCTGCCCACGCTCTTGATTGTGACCACCGTTTCAATTGGGACGGTAACGAAGTAGTCGCCATGTTTAACATCGAACATGCACGGAAATTCCTCGAAGTTTGGCACTCCGGTGCAGATAGCACTAACCGCCTTGTTGAACTAGATGTCCACTACGAAGGTCTCCGATCACGGTGGACTGACTGACGCCCACCTTAAGAATAACAACAGCTAATGCGTGCCCGGAAATGCATGATCTCGCCGAAACGCCATTCCTCCCTCCCAGCCCTACTCCCCCCTTTCCCCCACCCATCCATCACAACACGATGTACACCTACCCCTCGCAAGGTCGTCTGCTAACCTCTCTGTCTGCGTCCTCAACCAGCATTGTGACAATCCTACCTCATACTTTTCACTTTGTCTAACGATGGTTTGCTGCAATCAGCTCGAAAATGTACGAGTAAAACTATATTTCCGACGGACTTCCTCATTTCATCATATCATCGCGGAATGCATACTGCCTCATTTATATATATATATATATATATATATATATATATATATATATATATATATCCCGTTCATCATCCCCAAAAGAAGACGAAGAAGAAAAAGGGGCGATTGCATGGACCACAGTGTATTGGTGCTGACGTTTCGGAAACTTCCTCGTTTCCATCATCAGAGTGGTGGGGTGTCTCTTCCTGCTTGCTCGAAGTTGTTCTGCCTCGCCGCCTGTCTTGTGTTATAAGCACGCCTGACGCACGAACTCTGAACTGCCTTCTGGCTGGGGATTGGCTTTGGTTCCTCCGCAGGCGGCCAATGACGCGCTCCTGTGACCTCTGCCCCCTGAACGGCTGTCGTAATCGCTGCCAATCCTGTGTGCCCATGGGCCCTCACCTCATAATCGGATGGACCGATCAGTTGCCGGTGCATGTGCGAATCACGCTCGCCCCTTTTTCTTCTTCGTCTTCTTTTGGGGATGATGAACGGGATAATTTATCAGGACCTCGGATCTTTACTCATGTTGATACATGCTATGGGCGCACAGCCCTCCGCTCTGCACGCAGATGGGAGACTTTTGCCAAACGAGAGTCATCCACCTACGCACAGCTGAAGTTCCTGCACCGTTGCCTTGATGAGAACGTCTTGCCGAAATGTCTCCGATATAGCCTGCCTGTGATGACCGACCTTTGCCAGCGAACAATGGCCGAATTCAAGAAGAAGATGATCAGAGTTTTGATTCAAGACTGCCACTCTCGCATCCGTAAGTACCGACGAGAGATAGAACAGCATTTCTCCACGTGCCAGTCGATATTTACTGAACACGAGATGAAAGTCCTGGAAGCGACCGTACTCAGTAGTGCACATTGCCACCGCAGGTTGCGCGACAGCCAATTGCTAAAGAAGTTCGAAAGAATAAGTCCACCAACGCGGCCCCTTACTGATAGTGTCCTGGTTCACAACTTCTCCTCTCGTCATCTCACGCAGCAACAGCTGGCGGTTTTGTCCTATGACACTAAATTCAACACGAGAGATGCTCGGCCAGAACACTTCATCGCATCCTTCGAGTCAGCGCTCCAGAAGTGTGAGGCAAACGAAGAGTGCAAAAATTCCATGCGGCAACAAGTGTCAACCCTTCTCCTCCGGCACAAACCTCAGAGGGCGATTTCCGAAACTGAAGACCAAGAGCTTCTGAGAATTCGGAAGATGAGGGATATTGTCACCCTGCCCGCCGACAAGGGACGCTCGACTGTTGTCATGGATAAGACTGATTACACGACGAAGCTGCAAAGTCTGTTGGAGGACGAAGGTGCTTATGAGCTTTCGGAGACTGGAGAGTTCAAGAAGCACGTGAATAGCGTAAACAGGGCAATAGATAAGTTGAGGAAGGCAGGAGCCCTAAAAAGAAATGAGGCATTGGCGGCAAAAGCCACAGATGCCGCCATGGCGCGTTTCTACGGCCTGCCAAAAGTGCACAAGACAGGAGTCCCCCTACGCCCCATAGTCTCCCTACGCGGCACCCCGACCTTTGGACTCTCAAAATGGCTTTACCAACGGTTTCGTTTCCTCACCGAGGGCTCGGAATGGACGGTGAAGTCGGCTGAAGAATTCCTGAAAAGCATCAGAAACCTAGAAATAGAACCAGATGAGATGATGGTATCGTTTGACGTGGTCTCATTATTCACGTCCATTCCAACCGCCCTCGCCATCAGCACAATTGACGAGCTTCTTCAGGAAAAGTATGATGACGTTGACCAACAACTTAAGCGAACGCACATCACTGAACTCCTGGAATTGTGCCTCAGGACTTTCTTCACTTTTGGCGACCGGGTTAACGAGCAGAAGAAGGGAACTCCGATGGGATCCCCCCTGTCTGGGTTGATCGCTGAGGCCGTTTTGCAGAGGCTAGAACGACTAGTCTTCCGTTCGTACTCCCCAAAATTCTGGGCCAGATATGTCGACGACACATTTGTCGTAATCAAGAGGAACGACGTTCAGAACTTCAAGGTCTTACTGAACTCAATATTCCCCGACATCCAATTTACAATGGAAGAGGAGAATAACAACCAATTGCCTTTCCTCGACGTGAATGTTGCAAGGACGGTTAGTGGGAGGATAAGAACTACGGTATACCGTAAGGCGACGAATACCAGACGCATCCTCCAATTCCGAAGTAACCACCCTATTGGTCACAAGCGAAGTTGTGTGAGAACTCTCTTCCAACGAGTTCACACACACTGTAGCGACGACGACGGGAAAAAGGAGGAGACAAAATATCTACATGCCTTATTCACAGCCAATGGTTACCCACGATCCTTCATACGTGAGTGCCGACGAAAGACTACCCGTCAGCGATCAGACGGTGAGAAGCCGAAGTTTTGGCTGGCGATCCCCTACGTGAAGAATGTTTCCGAGGCGACAGCTAGAATCCTAAACCCTTTTGGGATTGGGGTGGCCCATAAACCGGAATCCACCATCAGACAGCAGATAATGAGACCCAAAGACCCGCTACCGGCAACGGAACAATCAGCAGTGGTCTACAGCATACCGTGCCAAAATTGCAATGCACGGTGTGTTGGTGAAACGGGGAAACGCCTCTGCACAAGACTGCATGAGCACCAGCTTGCAGTCAACCGCGAGGATAAACTGTCACTGGTATATGGCCACATGCAACAGGAGAAACATAGTTTCGCCTTTGGGGAAGCAAGCGTCCTCAGTCGAGCCCATGACAAGATGGCTAGGCTGGTGCTCGAAAGCTGGTCCTCAGTTGGCACAATCAACAGGGCTATTGATCTTCATCCGGCCTACCAGGCGCTGAGGACAAGACTCCAGTCGGTCCAGACGGGGCCGACAGTACTGGCGAGCGAGTCGCGGCTCCTCCAACAGTTGTCACCTTCACAGCAGGGGGAAGGAGCCAGCCGGAGGTCACACGACGAACGCGAGACATCGCCCCACCGGCGCGCCCAGACAGCCGAGCGTGATTCGCACATGCACCGGCAACTGATCGGTCCATCCGATTATGAGGTGAGGGCCCATGGGCACACAGGATTGGCAGCGATTACGACAGCCGTTCAGGGGGCAGAGGTCACAGGAGCGCGTCATTGGCCGCCTGCGGAGGAACCAAAGCCAATCCCCAGCCAGAAGGCAGTTCAGAGTTCGTGCGTCAGGCATGCTTATAACACAAGACAGGCGGCGAGGCAGAACAACTTCGAGCAAGCAGGAAGAGACACCCCACCACTCTGATGATGGAAACGAGGAAGTTTCCGAAACGTCAGCACCAATAAACTGTGGTCCATGCAATCGCCCCTTTTTCTTCTTCGTCTTCTTTTGGGGATTATGAACGGGATAATTTATCAGGACCTCGGATCTTTACTCATGTTGATATATATATATATATATATATTCAACTGATTATTCGCTGGAGTTCATATACCAGAATCCGCTAGAGAACGCTGGGGGTCCCACTGAAGAGCCGAACCCCTCGCAGCTGTGTCACGCAGCGGCAGAATATCGGCGAAATACGTGTCTGGGCTTTTAGCAAGCATCTATGTCGGGAGTACGGTATAATACATTTAATATATATACATGTATATATTATGACAGTGATCCACACTTGGGATTGGGTATGAATTGCTCATGATGGCTTATAAGCCAAAAATGACAATTCCGGTCTCCTTTCACTTTGTCGGCTGCATCACATCTATATATATATATATATGTTTATTGAAAATAAGTAAGATTCTTTGGGAAGGGAATAAACTTTAATGAGTAAATTTTCGAGTCTGGTTCCCCAGCTCGTCGTTAGACTTTTGGGCAATGTACAAAAACAGTTAACTATTTAACCGTGTCAAACAAGTGATTCTATGGTTGGCCGAAGTCTGCGCCAATGCGCGTCAACGATTTCGTCATCCCTTCGATATATATATATATCCCGTTCAACATCCCCAAAAGAAGACAAAGAAGAAAAAAGGCCGATTGCATGGACCATAGTGTATTAGTGCTGACTTTTCGGAATCATCCTCATTTCCATCATCAGAGTGGTGGGGTGTCAGTTCCTAC